TGCAAAACGTCCCCCTTGCGAATCCACCTCGATCGTCCTGACCTTCTGCCGGTAGACGTCCGATTTCACCAACCCTGTTCTAGTTGTCGACCAACCTGAATCCCGAAAAGGCCCCCTTTTGTAAAAGCCCCCTTTCAGCTTTGCCGATAGGGTTTAGGTGATTTTTTGTGCAGAAATTGGGGTGGGGGTAGGTTTTGCAATGGTTACATAGGGTTCAGGAAAAGGTGTTCGCTGCTGTCTGTGCGGTTTCGAGATCGGAAAAGTCAACTTATTGGTTCCGAGACGTCGACACCAACCCTACCACTGAACCTGCATAAACAGTGCCAAACGAGAAGGACCCCTTTGAAGCAAAAAACTCAACAACCTGCAGCAGCCCCAAACCCTAATCCAGGGTTCCGCCCCATCGACACCCGAGATCTTACATCGCAAAAATCCTACACGGTTAGGGGTTTGGGGTTTTTCATCCCTGGTTTCATTGAGAGTACGGTTTAAAGCTTAGGGAATTTCGGGTTTCAGTACAGTTGTGGAATGGTCGCAGATTGTAGTGGAGCTCCCTGAGGACTTGACCCGCTCCCCTTAGTGCAGGATGGCAGCTTAGGTGTTAGTAGAGTTGAGAGTTTGAGACCAGAATGAGTTCAGCGGCAGCCCAGCATTGTTCGATAGCGGCTTGTGCGACGAGGCACAAGGCTTTTTCCACAATTAGCGGAACAGACGTGGACAGGGATAGTCGAGCATATAATGAGCCCCAATGGACTTGTCCTGAAAGTTCCAGCGCTATGTCGCTGGCACCTACAAGCCCTGAAGCCTTAAAGCACCACCCCACCCTGTAAATTGTTAAATCACCAACCCTAAACCCTAATTCTAAGATCCTACAAACCGTATAAACACAATGAAGCCCTTATAAGACCATGAATCGCATACCTTTGAGGACCCGTCTAAGCTCTAAACCCTGAATCCTCGCTTTCCACTTTTCGGAAGCCGTCCGGCTGTCTGGGCGAAGCCCCAGGCGTCTCATTTGGACCCGGCTTGGTGATGGAGCCCAAGGTTAGTTTCTGCTCGTGCAACACACACACACACACCTCTAATGGATTGTGTGCTTATACCTTACATTTGAGATACACCTCCAAAATTACTATTTGACTATGTCTCTCTCTCTCTCTCTCTCTCTATATATATATACACAAATGAAGAAACAAACAAATTTATCAATATACATATATACATATACACATGTATCTTTACATACTAGTCTGCTGCTGCTTCTTTTGTTGCTCTAATAATTACCTATGCTATTTTGGGGATTCCTTGTTCTAGTTGTTGTATAATATACCCCAAAACCCTACTAAAATTATTAAGGCTCCTACACTACCCAGCAACGCTTGGAGCCATTTCCCAGGTCGTATCTCACGTAGTGAATTTCAATATTTGTCGATTATATACCCGTGCAGAACACCGCATGTTTTCTTGTCTCACCAACTGGGTAAACTCGGCTTTGGCTTTTGGAATGCCCCAAACCATCAACCCTAAGCCGATAAATGACATAAATGACCCTCACATAACCCTGTGCAACCTGCATGAAACGCTACAGACTTTACAAACCTGCCATCAAGCCTTGTCACTGATCGATACCTGACCTTGGCTTCCGTAAAAGGATTTGTATACATCAAGTCGACTCAGTCGGACGACTGCTGGCAAAGGTTGTCGGAAACGAGTAGGTAGACGTTTGTGGTTGCGATGAATTCCTGGAGGAGAGCCCACGTAGCACTCGAGATTGAAGGCTTTTGGGCTCTTGGGTGCTTTCGGGTGCCCCGCAGCGACTGACACAGCCCTCGTTGAGACCCTTCTGTACGCGATCATAGGGACTGTTCTGGCCGTGGTCAGAAGTTATATGTGAGAACCTTCCTTTTTCGACAGCTTTGCTGCAGTGCCTGGCCTTGCAGCTTAGCAGAACAGGAGCGAGTTCCACTGATGCCAAAGCGGAAAAAGAGTTCACTTCTCGGGCTTCGGAATTGGAAGCTTGGTCAGACAGCCATTGCTGTCTGATTTAGCCGAGTATGCAACGCATTTTCCTCCGTTTTAGGATATATATACATATATATATATATATATGTTTGTTTATTTGTTTGTATTTATGTGTGTATATATATACAATATACATACATCTATCGATTTGTCTATCTATCTATCTATTTATCTATCTATCTATCTATCTATCTATCTATCTATCTATCTGTGTGTGTGTGTTTATACATACACCTTTTTTATTTTCGTAACTTCTTCATTGTGTTTTGATACTTATATTCATATTGTGTTCGTCCGGCGACCTCCGAGTTTTACCACAATTAAAAGGTGAGCCGTTTCCCGGCGAGTAGCCTAATGACAGCCAGGACACGCTCAGGCTTTCAAAGGCAAGGCCTTTTGCCTACTGAAACGGGACTAGTAACGTTTCAGGCAGTAAACCAGGTTAGCCCTCCATTCCTAAATCCTCCAACCATCGCAGGCCTCTACCTGTAGCCAAGCAACCTAAAGATCAACATGTTGTTGATTCTCTTCAACCTCGTTGTTTGGGTTATGTAAACTTCATACCCTAGGTGCAGTGCCACCTTGTCAGCCGGGCGGGTGGGAAAACTCTCCCCAGCTGTTCCGGGAGTGAAACCACAAAGATTGGAAATCTCGGTAGGAAGTACACGAAGATTCGGCGTTTTCCGTTTCATCGAATTGCAAAAGGCCTTTTTTCGCAACCCGGCAGGAAGGATTTAGCGATTTCTTTGGCGGTCCATAGTTAGGATTCCTCACGTTCTCAAACTGCTATCCGAAATCCGTCAAACCCTACTCTCTGCAACTGAAATTAGATTACTACGTTCTCCGTGGGAGCTAAAGTTTGTGTCTAATATAATATGAGTTTGCAGGCCTATTGACGACCATACTTATGTTTTTGGTCCCATGGGCTTAAAGCTCCGCCCCGATGGGTGTAGTCTCGAGTGTTCCAGGCTTGCTCGCGGTGTGCACACCGTCGACGGGATGACGAGGAGGCCCTTCCTGCGATCAAATCCTACTTGGAGGTTCATGGGTCGTTATAAGTAGGGTTATAAGTAAGGCAACTATAGTTATAACCCATATTAGGGGACTTATAACCATACTTATAACTACCCATGAAGCTCCAAGTAAACCCTTCAACCCTTGTTTGGAAGTGTGCTCTGCTTGGCAACACTTTTTCCCGACATAATCTACGGGTCGGAGTACTTAGTAATCTGTGTCCCCTCATGATAGCCCTACATAATTATGCCATAACGGACCCCAAAACATATGCTAGTTTTCAAGACCTCATATCATAGAAGCTTGAAAAGTCTCAACAGCGTGCTGGGATATACTGGTATCTATCTATTCTCAACTTTTCTACCCATCTATATAGGCTGCTATAGAAGCTCAGTCGGTACCTTTAGGCCATGATTGGGCGTCTCTTGATCCAGCTGCAAATTCACACATTGACAGATGCCAGAAGGGGGAACGGGCTACCAAACAACAGGACCTGTTGGAAGAATTGTGTAATGGGCGCTCGGTGGTGCAAGTCCAAAACTTAAACCCTAAAGTGTGACTGTCAAAAAAGGCGGAGGTCAACTGAAGGGTCTCGGATTGCGCAGACAAATGTTAGTGGTCTGGCGGCAGGAGACGAAGCAGTCGGAGGGTCGCATCCGCTGTTGCACTTAATGCCCCGTCTGCCCGTGTAGTAGATTTAGTGTAGGTCCTGGCCTTACGGCGGTTCAGGGTCGAGGGACTGCAGGCCAACACGATTTTCGGGATGTGGACAGGAGCGCGAGGAAGCTCAAGAGCAGCGAGCGGACGGTTGGTGTCCACGCAGAAGTGCCATCGAGGACGTGCTTGTTGGGGAATCTACGCCCTTAACTCTGGATCCGGCACTCCATACCGGATCCCCCCGACTAGCATACAGGACTTGTCCGCGGGTGAAGGGTTGAAATTTCTTGTGGCCACCCTGAACCCTAAACCCCTGCTTGTGCTTTATTGCATCCCGACCCAGATCCCACGAGTGTGAACCGCCTCTGCCAGAACTTTTCCGACTATCCTCATTTCTGTGTGTTAAGGAATTCTCGACGGTTTAGGGCTTAGGGTTTGGATAGATTCAAGACGTGATTTTTCCCGCAGTCCCGCAGTCTGTGTCTTTGTTGTGTTGGTTTTTGGCAGCAGTGTATATTTGCTGTTTCTGTTTGTGTTTTAACTAGTCCCAGGAGACCGCGATTGGTAAGAAGTGGGAAGATCCCCTGAACACCTAAACCGTTTAGGTTTCAAAGTAAATATACGAGGAACTCGACCCAGCAGGTACCAATGAACTTATGGGGTGTGCAATTGGGTTTGGGCGATGTGTTCCCTGCAAACGCGGGACCCCTTAAAGCAGTCAGCGTGCCATACAGTTACATGCTGGTTACAGGCTTTTACAATTTCGGGATTGGGGTTTTGTGATGTTCTTTGTGGAAAGCCTCGCAGGACGGCGATGTGCCAGAGGATGCTGACAAGCCCAAGGCGCAGAACGTCATTGCCTCGTGCATGCCATGTTCTTGAAACCTAAATCTCAAATCTTCGAGGTTTGGGGGTTAATACAGGAGCTAACTACAACACATGCCTGGCAACCTGCCAAGCTCTGAGAATCAGGTCCTGGTTGATTTGCGAAGATTTTGCCACAACATGCAGTCAGATTCCTATGTTTCGAAAGACGTAGCGGGTGGCAAAGCGAGTCTCCTAAAGTCCTTGTGTGGTAGGATTGCGATCCGAAACCAATGTACAGTCGCCAGTCACACAAAGCCCGTCCTTTCGAAGTGAGTGCCACACGCTATACCACAAGTTCCATGACCGGGCACGCGAGGCTTGTGCTTGGTGCGCCCGGCGGCAGGATGTGGCCACGGAGGACAGTCGATGAGCATGTGGCAGCATGTTATTGTTGGCACTTGTTGAGCAATTTTTTTTGGACCACGACTTTGCCTGAGCATTGAGACGTCTATCTTCATAGCACCCCAGTTCAAGGAATTTACACAGAAGTTTATCCGTCTGAGCCCACCGCACATGAATCTCAAGCCCCAAATACCTAGAAGCCCAGCTTGTTGCTCATACGGCGTTCAAAGTGCAGTATCCTGTTCATAAAGTAGCTGGACTTTAATCCTAGACCCCTACACCCCTGCCCCATGCAAACCCTACCCTTACCCCGCTGCGAACTTGACACAACCGTGCACCCCCAAACCCTCTTGAGGGAGCTGAAGACTTGCCAGCACGTGCTTGGTGCCCACGCCGAAGCCAAGTGGTCGAGGAGAGGTTTCTTATTTAGAGTTCAGCGGCTTAGCCTTTGGGGTTCAGGGTTGGGGATGTAGGGGTTCAGGGTTGGGAGGGATTTCGATATTTTGCAGGGGCTTGGGGATTTCCAAAGAGTCCAGCTATACCCTTCAAGCAATCCTAGTCAAGCAAGTAAGTTGAGCTGTAGTCGGACCTTAGTAGGTTTTAGAGTCTTGGAAGTTGTGTTTCGTGTTGTAGTCCCCATAGGAGCCGGCGGCATCCAGTTGGGTCTGTTGTATTGTGAGCTAAGGCACGTGGGCTAAAATCCCCGAAGCTTTCCGTGTAGCCCAAAGCCCGCAAAGATAGTATCATGGGACCTAAGCCTTAAACCCCATGAGCCGCAAGAGTCCTAGCTGGGCGACAGGTAAAACACTGAGAGAAAAAAGAAGATTGGATCCATAAGTTGTCCTAAATCCACCTTAAAATCTTAAACCCTATATCCCAAACTCCTAATTTTTAAAACCCTACACTTTAACCCCTAAACCCTAAA